GAACAGATCTCAACAGGTGTGAAGAAGATGTTGAAAAAAATGAAGAAAGACGATATTTCCTCTGTAGTTTGCGAAGATTCTTACATATTACAATTGGCGCAATGTTGCTACCACATGAGAGAGAAGAAACAGAATCAGGGATACGTCACTCAGAAGCTGAGGCAAATGGCACGGATCCTGATAACGTTAAGAAAGAAGTCGATAAACAGCTTCGAAGACGCAGTCAAGCCCCAGAACTTCAACGCCGTTGTAGAAGCTGTTCAGGAGATTGCGGGCATCAAAGAGGGGTCGAAGTCGTTTGACAAACCATCTCTCGTTTGGAAGCTTGGAAATTCGCTGAAGAAGATCGCTGACATTAAATACGCCAGGGCTTTGAAGGATGGTGATGAAGAGGTGTTAGAGGAAGCTGAGGCATTTATTAAGCTGTGTACGAAAGAATGGCCCTCCCATGCAAAATCGCAACCAAAAACACCCTGCCAGCCAACCTTACAGTTTACACAAGATGTGATGCTGCTCTACAAGTGCCTGAACAGGACAACAGCTTCTGCAGTCCAGAGCCTGATGATGTATGCAGTAACACCGGTCTACAACGCGCTTCTCAAAGTGGTACTTGCATTCGTGTCCTTCTTAAACAAAAATATTCAGGACGTTTCAAGGGTGACACTCCAGTCATTCAAGGAAAGGGCTTCCGCAGAGCTTCAGGAAGATGCTGCTGGTTCACAGACCCAGTTGGAGCAAATTCTGTCCAAGAACCAAGTCACGATCGGTGTTAGTAACTCAAATGGAAAAATATTTGCTCTTACTTTGAGCCCTGAAGTGCTTTCTGCGCTAACGGTGCTTGTGGACAAGAGGGACACATGTGGAGTAGGTAAGGACAATCCCTTCTTATTTGGGAATCCTGGTGGCAAAGGGTCAGACTTTCACAAGGGACACGCGTGTATCAGGATGTTCGTTAATCGCTGTGGTGCAAAGAACCAGGAAGCTCTCAGGTCTCAGTGTTTTCGTAAGTACATAGTAAGAATTTTCCAGATTCTCAGCCTTAAAAATGACGAGCTCACTCAGCTAGCTAAGCTGTTGGGCCGTGACATTCAGACAGACTGGGAGTATTATCAGACACCCGAGGCAGCTGCCGATGTCGCAAAAATGTCAGAGCTTCTGTCGGCACTGGAGAATGGATCTCTCGAACGATTCGAAGGAAAGACTCTGGAGGAAATTGCGATTCCAGGTATGTGACTTAAATCTCTGTTCACCCAAATCCTCCCTCAACACATTTGCAAAACCCCATTACGAATGTTTAGAAACCCTGATTGTTTCCATGCATGTTTATTTTTTCTTGCTGCGTTACCGCCACTTGTTGGAATAATGTTGAACCACTGTCGAGTTCCTTTTTTCCTCTTTCCTTTAAAGATGAATTGCAGCCAGTCACGGAGCCTGTCACCCCCAGAAACAGTGATGCTGAGGACGATGATGAAGGTTCAGAAGTTTCCTTTGATGTGTGATATAATAGTCGTGCCTGCAGTTATTTTTGAGTGGTATTTGTGTTTATTATGGCAGATGATTTACCTTGTA